GGCCGGCTCGTGGCGCTCCGCTCGGCTCTGCGGTTCTCTTCGCGCCCGCTGCCTCAGGCCCCCTGGACGCCCACCGGACTGGACAGGCAGTAACGGCCCTGGGTGCGGGCTAGCGCCCCATCCCTCTTCAGAAGCTCGCACCAGGCCTCGGTCAGTGAGGGAAGCTTCTGAGGGCTTGGGGAAAAAAATATTGTAGAAAGCGTTTTATCTCGCTGTCGTTGGTGTCCGCCGAAGTCTGTGGTAACGCTACGCTTGGGACTGATGCCAGTGTTCTGCTAGTCGTGCCTGGGTGCGGCTTTGTATACCTTACAAAGGGAGCAAGTCTCCTGAGCCTGCCAAGTGCCTTGGTCTTAACTTCTCTAATGTTCCAGCTTTTCAGGTGGCTTCATCATGGATGTAACTGTTGCGGAGTATATCCGGAGAACGGTACTAAAAATCCCACGAAGTGAAATCAAGACAATGCTACAGAAATGGGGCTTTCTCTCCGAGACGCAGCTGCAAACCGTAAACTTCCATCAGATAAAGGAGAACATTTCTCAAGACGTTGTTCAACTCTGTGAGGTAATCCCTTCCTTCGGGAACTGCCTGTCAGTGACATGCAGGATGTATGTTGAAGCACCATAAAAAGCATTCTTACGAAAAAATTAATTTTCTTTGGCCATAACACAGCATCAAATAGCAGTTTGTAGTCTGCAAATGTAAAGCTGAGCTGGTAATACCATCAATTTTGTCTGGTTGGTAGGAGTGTAGGATTGACCTTTACTGAGTAAGGCAGTACATATTTTGAGCTCTAAGTTGCACTAGGTAGATAAAAGCTCAGTGTGTTAAACTTTTAAGAAAGGAGTGTTTTTCTAAATTGGAAAATAAAGACATTGATTGAGATGTCTACTGATTACACAGTGCTAACTTAAATTTATTTAGTATGGGTAATAATAGCACTAGTTTATATGTTTAGACTTTTTAGATTTCTTTCAAAAAATGTTCCTGGACAGAACTACTTCTGTTCTGTGTACTGCAGGCAAAAAATGTTTTCTGATGTCCTACTTACTTATGCTGATTTTGGTCTACCAGCAATCTTTACATGTACCAGGTGTCTCAATATATGGTATCATAACTCAGATAGATACAGATATTACTGATATTTCTTAAATTCTATGGGGTTTTATATTATTCCCTTTGAATTTCATACTCAAAGATTAATTGCATGGGGTGTAGATCAATCTGCAGGCAAGAAACTGTTAAGTTATTCTTGTAAGATAGCAAATGTCTCATTTTAAAATAGCATTTGTTTCTGAAACATTCTTACCTGTAACAAGTAGCATCATAAAGTTTCTTTAAAACCTTTTCATGCTGTAAAGGTTAAGTAAAGAGGAACCAAGCATGTTAAAATTCCTGACAGTGAAATACTAGTCACTGTTCTATAGTTTCATGAATACCCATTAATTTTACCTTCTAATTGCTTGTGCATCATACTATAAGGACAAAATTCTTCTTGCTGCCTCTGCAGAAACACTTAAACCTTACTGAAATATCTTTCATTACTGATTTCTCAAAACTGTATTTTGTGCACGTTGGGACCAGATGTGGTGTCTTTGAGGAGAGTGTACATGTTCAGTGCAATGTAATTTAAACTAGCAGTACTGAGATTTTTCACTTACTAAACAGTGTGATTTGTGTTTAAACTCTGATGTGTAAACTCTGGAGAAGAGAAGGCTGAGTGGGGACCTTATCAATGTCTATAAATATCTGAAGGGTGGCTGTCAGGAGGATGGAGCCAGTCTCTTTTCAGTAGTGCCCAGTGATAGGACGAGGGGCAATGGGCATAAACTGCAGCACAGGAAGTTCCACCTCAACATGAGGAAAAACTTCTTCATTGTGAGAGTGACGGAGCCCTGGAATAGGCTGCCCAGAGAGGTTGTGGAGTCTCCTTCTCTGGAGACCTTCAAAACCCGACTGGACGCGTTGCTGTGCAACCTGCCCTAGGTGATCCTGCCTTGGCAGGGGGGTTGGACCAGATGATCTTCAGAGGTCCCTTCCAACCGCTACCTTCTGTGATAGAGCATTTTGGACTTGCAGTTCACCATGCACTGTTATTCTTCTTTCCAGGAAAATTCTGCAGACATAAAGCAAGCAGCTGTCCTAGACATAATTTGTAAGTGAAAAATGAATTAAAGTAACACCTTTATGTTTTTTCTCAGTAGCTTGATAATGCCCTTAATTACATAGCAATTAATTGCCCTGGTGAGGTACAGATGCATTTTGGATTTCAAAAGCTCAAAATCAACAAAAGCATGTTTGCTTCTTCTGAATGTAAACTGTGGTGAGCCACATCCAGCACACAGTTATAAATGTAGAGATATGTTTGTCTCCAGTACGCACCAAACCCTAAAATCACTAATATCGTGCTCCAACAGGGAGAGACATAGGCAAAACTATCAGCAAATACTCCATGCAGAACTCTAACTCCAATATTAATTCACAACTTGATTGCATAATACTTTAAATCTCAAGGTTTGTCTTAGCAGTCTACACTTCTTAGTTTGAATTTAGACTGAGTTTCAGTCATTTTAGGTAAAATCCTTCTTTAAACACTGAACCACAGGTACCCTTTTTTAGTTACTTAGCTGAATTACAAAAGGTCTTCCCATCTCTTCCAATAAAAAAAACCTAATTTGCTTATAGGTTTACTAGGAGTGGTAGTTCAAGAATGCTGAATAAGTTACACTGCAGTATCAGAAGTAACCTTTTTGAAGTAATCTGGTCATAAAAGTATTATTTGTTCCTTTAATGTTTGATAATACACTGAGCAATTCCTATTTTTCTTAGACAACCACATCTACCCAAACAAAAGAGTGTGGAGTGTTTACCAGATGAACAAAACAGGTAAAATGCCTTTCCTTCCTGTAACCTCACAGTTCTCAGCAACTTACTGCAGTGCTGCCTCATATCATACATTTTAAATACAGATATAGTCTAGTATGGATTTTTTCTATAGTTATCTTTAACATTTAACTATAGTCTAGTATGGATTTTTCAACAGAGATATCTATGTTTTTAGAATACTTTTGATCAACTTCTTAAGCAATTATTAGAAATTAGTAACTACTAATTAAATATTAATCTTTTCTCTATATAGCAATAATGAGGCTCAAATTTAATATACAGCTTTTATATGACTATGCAACTTCAGCTTTTTCCGCTTAATATTGTTTCAGCAAAACTAAAAACACCCCTGAACTAGTTCTTGTAAACACAATTCTTGTTTCTTTTTTTTTTTTCCTTGTGTAACAGGGGAAGAAACAGAATTTTTTGACTTAGCAGATTTCAAAAAAATATTTAAAAGACAACTTCGGTCAGCCTTGAAAAATGTAAGAATAAATGCATTCTAAATTTGTTACACAGCTCTGGTGTCAATAGATTGTTTTCATAACTTTAGCAAGGTTTATTTTTGGGGTTTTTTTCCTTACTATGTGCATGAAAAATTAAATGGAGTTACTCATTTGGGAATAGTAGGAACTGCATGTGAAATAGGAAAAATGTATCACATATCTATTCTAGCAAATTTACAATTATGCTGGAGTGAAATAAAATGTAAGCTTGCCTTAAAATATGACAGGCTTCAAGAAAGGCGGTGTGTTTATCTTTTCCATCAAATCTTTGACCTATTTGAGTGTATATGTTGCCTAGGTAAGTTGATACTGCTTTGTCCTGTTTGTACCCAATAACAATACACAAACAAAATTGGAGCAAACAGAGTATAGGGGGAATTTGAAGTAGGCAGTAAGCAGGACAAGGAAGTTCAGTTATTATGACCTTGATTAGTAGCAAAATTGTATCCATTTCCTTTTAGTTCTGGTTTTGAAATGACATTTTGTGATGGCTGTGAGAACTTGGTCCTGGTATTTCATTACATTACAATGACTGAAAGACCACTGTCAATAGCAAAAAGCAGTTCCTAGACTACAGAAATGATCATGCTAAGAAAAAAATGGAAAGCAGGTACCATCTTATCACTTTTTTACTAATAAATTTGCAGAAGCCTTTTCTTGCTTTAGCTCACCAGCTTTATCTAAGCAAGGTAATAGAAAATGCCTCTGGCTAGTTAGCTGTGTCACTTCTTGATGCACAAAGGATTCCCACTGACAACAGTAGAGGGCAACAAATACAAATCAGACAAACAGATCATCAGCTGCAGTTCATATAACTTTATTATAATAAAGTTTTGCAATATTTTCTTCTTTTTTTTTTTTTTATTTCAAAAAAACTTTGGGAAGTGATGGTCTAGCAATTTACACAGTTTATGGCCTAGCTGGGCTAAAAGCCTGACTACATGTGCCTCGGTCAAAGGGAGGTGGCTGTTTTTTAAAGGAAGTTTTCCCACTCTTAAGTCACCCAGATTGATTCAAGTTAAAAAGAAGTAACTGAGGAGCAAGTCTACAAGAAAAGGAAAAGGAATCTTTTTCTGATTGTGTATTCCTGAGCAGTCATAAATTCAGGTCTAAAATCACAGTTGATCAAAAATTTAGTTTCTCAAAAATTGAACATCTTGGAAATATTGCTACTAGCCCTCCATCTAAATAGACATATTTTTGTTGCTTTTTTATTTTCCCAAAAGAGAGGCTTTTGTAATAAACTATTTTTATCTTCACCCTTCAGAAGAAAACGTACAGGAAGAAAAGTTGTATTAGAGTTTGAAAGGTGATTTTTTTTTCTCTCTCATTTGGGGGGGGGGGTGGATATTTGATTTAAATACAATCCTGACCACACTAGTGAGATTTGTTGCTTATTCAAGCAGCTGTATACTAAATTATGTTTAGGTCTTGTGAACACAGGGTTAAGAGATAACAATATTTCTGGATGCCTCAATGTGCTGGTAAATCAAAGCTTTTCTTTTTCTATTAGGTCACCATCAACTTCAGAGAATATGAGGATAATGCAATCTGGATTAGAATTGCCTGGGGAACACCATATAAAAAACCAAACCAATACAAAACCAGTTATGTTGTATACCATTCACAGACTCCCTACGTCTTCATTTCTGCCTCAGTGCTTAAGAGCAATTTGCCTCTGCTATGTCAGGTACAGAATAAAGCTGTGTACACCCTGACTTCATCACAGTCATGCAGAGCTATAATTGTGTTAGCTTTTAAGAGGATGAGTAAAGCTTTGTCATTTAACATACTTTACTAATTTACATAGTCATTTTTTTCCCTGAGCTTGTGATAAAAATGGGGCAAAAAATAATCTTTGTCACCTTTGGAATAGTGCATCATGAATAAATTTAGTTTATTGGGATTTTTGCTGACTTTGAATTGTTCCAATTTCTTAACCAAGTGTTAGGCAATATTCAGTTAAATTGTCTCATAGAAGTTGAAGAATATTACATCAACACAGTTAACCTCAAGAACTAAACGTATGAGCTCATCAGGGAATGCTATTAATTAGTATTAAAAGACATCTTTTGTCAACTTGTGGTAATCGGCACTGATAGTCTTTCATTTTTTATCTATTTAGCAGACTTCTGTACTAGTAATTATTTTATGAATCTGTTTGTTTATTTTTTCACTGATAAGGATATAGGGCTTATCTGGTTAATCCTGTGAATGCTTTTAAATATTAACCTAAGCTTAATAACAATCTATTCAATGTTTTTTCAGACATGAGAATCCTGATAGTTAAAGGGCGGTTGCTTACCCTGAAACAAAAACATTGCAATATCTAGAAATGTTGTATTTTTTTCCATATTACAAACACAGTGATGATTAAGACTGTTAAAACAATTTCAATTTTTATTTAAAGGCTCTGGTTGTTGCTTCCAATTACCATGACATCCATGAGATGGAGCTTCGAGGTCATTCTTTAAACTCCCTTAAAGATATTGTGTTCAAGAGATATAGCCAGGTGAGCCACTTCAGAAGTGCACCCTTAGATAAGTCTTGTGTTTTGTTTCAGCTCTAGTTCTTGCCCCCTAGCAGGGGGGAAAATTCACCTCTTCCAAGAGACCATCAAGTTAAAATAATATTGAACTAGAACTACTGAGGTGGACAGCCTTTCATTAAGGCAACATTACAATGGAGATTGTAATTACTTGGTGTTCCACCTGCTCTTTATTATTGTTATTGCTGATGGTTAAACTCAGTCTCAAAATTGTATGAACAATTCCGTCCTAGGATTTTTTAGCATTGTTTCACTAGGCTTGCTAGAGCAATGAGTTGAAGGCTACTAGAATGGGCACGTGCTCTGCTCATACATGTAAAAGTTGTAAATGGGGAAATGTTCGCAAATACCATAGGACGGGCATTCTTTTCTCAAAATAAAGCTGGGCTTTCTAACTTCTAGTAATTATCAAAAATTGGAAGAATACTCACTTTTAGAATGAGAAGAAAAAAAGAGGTCTGGAAAATTCTTTTCAGCTGCAACCTCCAAAAGTAGAAGTGAACTAAAATCTTTTTTCCCCTATTTAGAACTTCCAAACTTATGGTCCAAGATCTCCACAAGAAAGCAGTGTAGCACCTGAAAGTGGTATGTATATTTTATATTAAACAGCAGTTTGAATGCCATTACTGCTGGCTTCTGGAATGAGGTTCATAATAGGAAATATGTACATATGTTACAGTACTGTTACATTATCCATCCCGTTATAGGGTGCTGTAGTAATACCTGATGCCCAGTATCTCCTTTCATATTATCTTGGGTTTTTCTCTTGGTAAGAACTGAAAATGTAAATCATGGAGACAACTAGGTTATGAAAAAAAGATGGCAATGAATTCTTTAAAAGTATATTTTCAGATTTTCACTGGAGTAATCACCTGATCAGAAAACCAGAATTGTATCAGCTGACAAAGTGGTCTTTCTGTTTTTTCTCTTCTCATACCTACTCTTTTTCCCTGCAGTAGATCTAAGGATAGTTCAAGAAAACACAAATGAGAAAGAAAGAATACAGAGAGTGAATCAGGAAGTTTTTGGTGATGGTCCCCAACCAAAACTGGAATTTGCACAATATAAGGTAGTAAAAGCAACAATTTTTTTATATATAATTTTAATGTGGTAGCTACATTAAATTGCAGATTGAAGAAATACCAGATTATTAAAAAAAACCAAAAACTTGAGAGAGGACATTTTAAAATTAATTGAAAGTATCTTTAGGAAACAGATTTGCATTGAGATTTGGTCAGACTACTATATCATATTTCAGTCTTTCAGCCTTGTGAACTAAACATTTTGATTTGTTTTTGTAATAAAGGTAGACTCATACCAGCAGTGTGTTGAAGTGTGAGAAATTAGGGTTATGTGAAGTACATAAAAAGCTCACGCTACACATAACACCATAATTTAACTTCTTGGATGATGCATGGATTTTATCTGATGAACAGATATACTGGAAATTCTAAGAGATACTTAATATTTTACAATATTGCTGAACAAGCTGCCTCTTTCAGCAGCAAACTACCACGTGGTGGCACCCTCGAATTTTATGAAAATACTGCTGCAGCTGGAGTCATGTTAACACAGAAATAATAGACAAAGAAGATACAGTCTTATTGCATGTTACATTTTTAATGTAATATTTAAATAATAACATATAAATAAAATATATGCATTGCTTATACTCCCTGGTTAAATTTTGTGTTAACAGCTTGAGACGATGTTTAAAAGTGATCCTAAAATGGATGTTTTGGATAAAAAAGAACCATTCAGATGTGTGGTCAAGTTTTCTAGTCCACATCTCTTAGAATCACTGAAATCCTTGGCACCAGCGGGTAAGTGTTCCAACTCTATACAATGGAGGAAAAATCTGCAGTTAAATGTTTTTGTCATCTTACATTCCGCTTGTATCTTGCGTAAGGGAGAACCTTCATAGTTTGTTTAAGAGTACATAAAAATCTAGTAGAATAAAAATGTCACCACTGTAAAAACTTATGTCTAAATACATACCAGTTTGTTCTTAGAATTACTAGTTTGTACATTGATACTCAGGCTGTGTTTCTAGTTTTTGTAACAGTTATGAAAGGTAAATATTTGTTGAGTTAAGCTATAATTATCTGTTTCTCTCTCCAGGTATGGCTGATGCACCACTTTCACCACTACTTACATGTATACCACAAAAAGCTAGGAATTACTTTAAAATTAGAGAGAAAAAAGGTTTCTTTCCAGGAAGTTTTGTAAGCCCTTAATTTAAAACTGATTCATAGAGAATTATACAACTCATTTATTACTGGTATCCAAATCATAATAAACTTTAAAACATCATATTTTTTAAAAAATAACTTATTCTTTGATAATCCCTTGAGGTTTTTTCAAATTATGGCTTCTTTGAATTATTTTTCCACAGTTGTCTTTAACAGAAGAGTCCTTAAATAACAAAAAAATGTTAATTGCAAAGTTTAAACAGATCGTGGTTATTTTAAACTGAGATGTGATGACTGCTCTTAACTATATTTTTAATAGTATTTATGACTATAAAGCTTAATAAACATAAAATAAGACAGCTGTAGGTATTCAGTTTACTATTGTAGCTGTAGGTGGCGAAGGTATTCTAGGTGTCTGCCTTATTTCAGCTCCAGTGCAGCAGTCTAACAGAATATGTGCCCCATTTTGAACACATGAATAGTCCCATTCAAGTGAGTGGAACTGCCCGTCTGCAGGTCAGGCATGTTTTTATCTCAGTAGATGAAGATTATATTCCAAAACCATTACAGGGCATGGGGGAGAAGGGACTTTTGGAATACAGATGTCAGCAAGAATCTTCTATCCAGCTTTAGTGGATATTGATTCAGATCCAGAGCTTTTACTCAACAAGGGTAACAGCCAATAACAAATACTTAAAAAAAAAAAAAAAAAAAAAAGAAAAGAAAAATCTGTCTTGGTATTAATGTCTTATGAAATTTTATCTTAGAGGAATACAATGAAACAGGCAATAATTTACTTCTGAGGAAGTTCATGTCGTAGAATATTTCAGTTAAGATTTGATCCTTCTGCAGTCTTTGCACATTACCACTTTTTTTGTACCTGGGGACATGAATGTTGCCATCTTGATTCTGCAATCTTTACTAATGCAAACAGCAGCTTTGCACTGGAGTTCTTTAGAGTTGGTAAATGGCAATTGGTAATTATATATATATATTTATGTAGCTTGCTGCATCATTTTTAATTTGAGATTGATTTGATCTGAAGATGCAGTTATAGTCTACAAGTGTTTCTCTTATAATTCTGTTATGTGTAAACTTTGTGCGTGTACTTTGTGTATATGGAATTTCCGATTAACTTTAAATATGCCAATGAGCAGAGACAGTCTTTAGAACTTGTGGTTTAACCCGGCAGGTAGCTGCCCCGTCCCAGCTTCCCGTGCTCCCCTCCCTTCTCGCTGGCAGGCCAGCATGGAAGCTGAACAGTCTTTGACTGCTTAGCAACTACTAAAAACATCAGTATGTGATGGATGTTATTTTCATCCCAAATCCAAAACACGGCACTATACCAGCTACTATGGAGACAATTAACTGTATCCCAGCCAAAACCAGGCACAGTGTAAATATTTTGAGAGGTTGTATGGGAATGTTTTTGTCTTCAAACTGTAAATAAATGTGTAAATTAACTCTTCTCATGGATGTTTGTTTTGCCTGACTTAGAAACATGACACTGATTTTTTGTTTAGTTTGTTTTTCAGCATCTCTGTACAGCTCACACATAAAAAGAAGTTAGTTGAGCACTATCTGCTAGCAATTTATTTTTGGGACTTCCACCTGTGTCATTTAAATGTTAGTTTAACAAGATACTTACCATCATGTTAGGATTCTGAAACCACTCCAGGTTTTGTCATACACAACATGTGTGATAGACATTGAGAGTTGGCTGTTGGCGTCCGTCACTCATACCTCATAGAGCCTTCTAGGAGTCAGGGCCATTAAGACTCCAGGATGCATTTCACCCTGTGCGACTCTTTCTTCCAGAGTAACATAAATGCATGAGATGAGAAGGACGTACCCTAGGGAAAGTTCCAAAATACTCTAAAACAGTTTGAGTACCCGGCCTAGGGCTGGTTTCTGCCTCTCATTTCTGAGGAACGCACTCTCCATCCCCTCTTTAACAACCGAAAAGTTGGTCTCTCCTATTTTTAGATGCACATTTCATCTCCACCTTCCCGTCACCAAGGCTCTCGCAGGAACTAGGCAGCGCTTCCAGGCAGTTACAAGCAGGGGTAGAGGGGCCGTGTTACAACCCCGCGGCCCCCGCGCGTCCTGGGAGCTACGGGCTCCTCGTAACTTCCCCCGTAAAGGGGGGGCTCCGTATCGGTAACGTACGTTTTTATCCTTCAACTAGCAACGCTACAGGGAAAAAACTCCTTTCTTTAAAATGCAAGTCTACGTGGGTAAATAAACGCGAAACAGCCCAAGTGCAGAGGAGGCAGCGCCGCCCCATCTACCGCGGGAGGCCGGCGGGGCGAAGGCACGAGCGCTTTCTTAAAGCTCTCGTTCTCCGCGGC